GCGCTGGATCTTCCTTTTGAAGTATGTACACGTCATTGAAGAATACTCGTCAACGTACTAACATTGGTGTAGCGTTCCTGTCGGAGTTCTTACTGCTGTATCACTTTGCTTCACACTTCCGAGAACGCTGTTCAACGAGCCAGCTGCGCAGCAGACACACCCGATCTTCTCGAAGCATTCCCTCAGTCGACTTGACTTCCTTGGAGCGACGTTGATGCTCGGCACTCTCGTGTTACTCGCTACAGGTCTCCAGCAAGCGTCGCTGAACTATGCGTGGTCTTCCAACAAAGTCCTTCCTCTACTCGTCGTTTCCGCGCCTTTCGCCGTCGCGTTCTTCACATGGCAATGGTACATAACACAGCGTCGCACCAATCCCGAGCCCGTCTTTCCCTGGCGCTTCTGTCAGAGCCGCATACAGCTCGGCATGATCATGTAAGTCCACAACTTTGTATCCTCATCATGCGTCATTCTGATGTAGACATGCAGAAACACCTATCTCTCCGGCACGGTCATGTTCGTATGTATTGCGCAAATCCCCCAACGTTTTATCACGGTCAACGGCCTCTCTCCCCTTGCCGCCGCCGCCCGACTCCTCACATACGGCGCTTTCGTGCCCTTTGGCAGTGGTATCGCTGGTGCGATGATGGGCAAGCCCAGGATACCGCCATGCTGGATCATTCTCGGTGGCTCCTTGATGGAGATTCTCGGTATTGCGTTGTTGTCGCAGATCGATACTTCGTCGCATATCGATGCTAGTCAGTATGCGTTCCAGATCATTGCTGGAACGGGAACTGGTCTTGTCAACTCGGGACTCATCCTACTTGTGCCGTACGCGATGGATAAGAGGGATTTGGGTAAGCTACCCACTGCATTCACACACGCATGTGTTCAAGGTTTTCGTTTACTAAAGAGTACCAGCCGTTGGCTCAGCAGCTACATCGCAGTTCCGCACCCTGGGCGGTCTAGTCGGTATCGCCATCGTTACATCTATCTCCACACCCTACATTCGCTCCCATCTGACCGACATCCTACCCTTGGAGCTTGCCGAGAGCCTGCTAGAAAGGACGGAGTTAGTGCAGACTCTTTCACCGGAAACGTTGGAGCGTGTGAGGCAGTTGTTTGGTGAGGCCTATAACCTGCAGGTCAAGGTACTCATCGGGTTTGCGGTCGCCAAGGTACCGGTCACGGGTATGATGTGGACAAACTTGAGAGTGGAGAGTAAGTGAGCGGGCGAAGATCGGCACGGAGCTTCAGCAATGATGATTCCATTTGACAAATACGTCGAAGTGTACTTTGTTGTATCCCAACGTCTTAGAAAGCCCGAAGGTACTCAGTAGCTTCGAATAGATAGACCATTGTGGTCAAGACATCAAAGCCATTCACTACGTGCGTGCTCTCCCCAAAGTAATTCCAAATATCATCGGAGGCACTCTATCACTCATAAACCTTCGATCACTTCGCGAAGACTGCCTTAGCTACGCGCACATGCTGACCTTCTCTTTCCACCAACTCAGTAGAAAGTGTTAGCTCAAGTCTGAGTCATCTTCCTCGGCCTCGAAGTCCTCATCGTCATCCTCCTCCTCCTCTTCGAAATTCATGTCCTCATCGCTGTCCAGAAAATCGTCGTTGGACATTGTGAACGCACCATTCCTAGCCTCCGTCTCCTCGGCCTTCATCCTCTCCAGCTCAATCTCGTGCGCCTGTCTCATTCGCGCATGCTCGTGTTCCTGGCGGGCGACGCGTCGCGCCACGACGGCCATGATCGCGTCTTCACCGTAATCCGGGCCCAAGGTGCGCAGAATGTTGTTGATGTCTTGCTGTGTGATAGGATCGCCAGTAGGTTCGAAGAGGAGGCGCTTGCATGTTGGACATGTGTTACCGACTTCGAGCCAGGCGTCTAGGCATTGTTGACCGACGATGTGGCCGCAGGCGGCGATTCGTACAGCACGGTGAAGCTTGGACTCCGCGGGCTTACTCTTCGTAGGGTGAAGGGCAAGAGGATGGCGGCAGATGGTGCAATCTTGCGATGCGTGCGCGTGCGACTGTTGGACCTGCTCGAGACCCAGGCTGTTGAACATCTCTTTGCTTGCGAAGACTGTCATTTTGGATCTGAGAAAGCTGAAGTATTCGCGAGTGTGTTATAAGTCGCGGGGGGTTCAGTTCAGTTTCAAGGCGGGTGGTATGTGACAAGGTGAGAGTGAGAATTGTCGCTGGTCGCACTTTCTCGAAATGGAGCAATCGAAGTGAAGTAGTGCACGGTTGTCGCATCGATTATCTGTGATTGCTACCAAGGTAGAATGGTCTGAACAAGCGCGGGTGCGCTGGCTTGAGGATATATATCTCTTGGAATTACATTATGAGCTTGTCGCATTGGCCAGAACAGTGTGTATCGCCTGCCTACCATGGTTCAGGACAATTATTCAACATCACAGTAGGCGACCGGCATCTATCAACCAAAACATTGCGTGCAGCCCTCACAGAGAGAGATGGGTCTTAGTGGAGTCTACTTTGATATGCATGAATTTAGAATTCGTTGGATATCTTTAGGAGAGGCGTTAGCGTTTAGCAATACAGCTGGAAGGTAGTACTTACAAAGGTCTTTTGTCGTCATAGGCTGTGGATATCAACAGATAACTTAAAGAAGACTCACAAGTCTGCAAATGACTGTCGTCAAGCTTCCCTCCGAGATGCAGCGGGAACCTTGAGGTTGCGTCTTCGCACGGTTCATCAGTCCTGTGTCCACTGAGACAATAGCATACATGTGTGCCTCTTGAAACGCAATAATAACCCAAGCTCGCAGTTTGCGCGTCAACTGCAACGTGTTATGAAAGTGAAAGCGTTGACAAGTTCGAGGCCGTGACGTCGTGCCGTGAAAAGGGCTGACACGTCATACAAAGAAAAATATTGAACAGGTGCTCTGCCGTATACATTAGTATAAAAGTTGAAGCTTACACATTCCCCACAGCAATGTAGACTCCTAGGAGGTACGTGTTTAGGTTTTTCCTTGTACAAGGTGCTGAGCCATCTAGAAGATGGGAGGCTGGTCTCGGGAAGTTTGTTGAAACGCTAGCTGCTTTCTGGTTAGCGTCAAGGCACCCATCGGGCCCGGGTGTTCATCGACGGTACCAGCGACCGTGGAACACACGAAGGACAGATGTACTGAGCTTGCATACCTGGCCTGTACATAAGATAACACCGCCGCGTCCCGACTGCAAGTTCACATACCCTCAACGATATGGCTGATTTACACCGTTACCGCTCTACGCCAGAGGGGGCACTCGCATGGAGTAAAGAACCTCGAATGCTATTACTTCGGTCACTCTACGGACAATACCACAACCCTAAGGCCTCCCATTCCTCGAATATAGCAACCGAAAATGAACTGCACGACCTTTTCGACATCTGGAACAAGCGCCCGAAGGTAGAGCCACCCTACTCTTGTACAGAGCGTTCAGCAGTCGAAGCATGGAGACAGCAGGTCGAACGGCAGGTGAAGACACGTATATCCAGCTACCGCTGCACGGTATCAAACACACAAGACACTCTTCCCTGTTTGGAGCTTAGTGTTAGAGGCTATACCAGTACAGAACATCGGATGTTCCGGATCCCCGAGTTACTAGACGCCATACTTCATTTCGCTGGACCTGTGGCGCAAATCCGCGCGTTGCGCGTATCAAAGGGCTGGCACAGAAGCGCAATGGCCGTTATCAGCAGTTGCAATACCGCTGTCCCATTCCGGGCATCACCGCTTTGCATGCCGGCAGAGCACGGAAAGCTTATCGATGAAGACGTCATGGCACCTCTCCAGCCCAGTTCTGATGAGATGAAAAGATTTGAATTGGATTTCGAACGTGTCTACGAGAAGTGGGGCGGGAAAGGAAGCGGGGCTCTATACTTCCCCGCCAAGTGTGCTCAGAGGCGCGACCTCCCCGGTCCCTTGTCTGAGACCCTCAATCGTCTAGACAGTACCCAACCCAGCGATGCCTTTCCTTGGAATTACCGAGTACGTGTATCTCGTGAGACAGATATATACTGGTTGGACCTGAGCCAGTTCGAGGTGAACCCATACCTTGAAGCTCTCTTCGCGGAAGAACACCAGAGCAAGCATCGTCTCGGTAGATGGGAGATCTGCTTGAGGGCAGCGGCAAGCCCGCAAACACTTCTGCTCAACCCTCTCCTCTCGAACAAAGCCCTGCTGGATGCCCTTGGGTCTATGCACGTCACGTCACCACCCTGCCGAGCTTTAGGCATTTACCATGACGACTTTTGGAAAACGCATCCGAACGGCCGTAATACACTTCTGTTTAGGATCAGAAACGATCAAGGTGTACGCGTTTCTGAGCTTCTCGACGCACTGCAAAGATTCGCACCTGTTGTCCTGGAAGCTTGGTTCAGAAGTACTGAATGGCTTGTTGGTGAGATACCACAGGCGCACTGGATTGACGATATCTGGAGAGTACCTGGCGCACCCACGATTCGAATATATCTAGACAACGTGGATATGTCAGATGATGTCCACATGTTCAGTACAAGTGATTCGCTAGAAGAAGTTAACGCATGGTCGACGGCAAATCCATTGGTACTCGGCTTGTCAAGCCACATCACTCGCGCTGCTCTGATGAAATCAGAACCCTTGCGGAGATCAAGGGAGATGGAATGGATATCTGAAGATCTTATCGAACCAGCAGAAAGCACTACCGGTCGGCATCCCATCAACTGGGAGATTTGATGAAGTTGGTTGAGGCTGCATGGAAACTGACGAATACTGCAAGAGCGTGTTTCAGAGGCTCTTTCCCATGCAATACATCGCTTTTGGCAATGGGCCACGTGCGTCACGAGGTACATTCATTCCCTTAAGATCTGGTAGAATAATTATTAATTATTAATCGTCTTTACAAGTACACATGTTGCCGCAGAATCCAGGTGTGTTCCAAATATGCCGTAGAAAATGTTAGTAATTCTGTGGCGCCTTACCGTTTACAAAGGTTTGTTCAACCCACTCACACACCGTGACTTGCCCCCCGATCCATACGCATACTCTCTTCCACTACAGGGCCACTCTTGGTACTTTCGAGCAAGTAATTACCAGTCTTGCGCGATTCTTTCTCGGCCTTCTTGGCCGCCTTCCTCTCCTTGCGCGACGGAAATTCGCTTCCAGACCCTTTCAAGACGATACCAGGATGTACCGCTGCCAGCAACACCAGAGCCAGCACCATCGGTACAGCATCCAATCCCAACACATACCCCTCTGTGCCAACGAGAACGTTCGTCGCACCCTTGACTCCAGCCGAGAACTCGATCAACCGGAAGATGATACGCGTCGTGATGAGCACAAGGACAGCATACAGCGTATACGTCAGCAACTTCCAACGCACCGTACCTGCCCGTCGGTCACTCTCCGTATCCTCTCGACCTTGGCGCTCCACCCTCAGCATATCCAGATGAAACCTGATAATCAAGGCCAGAAACATAAGAATGAAGACCTGCTGCACACCCACACCAACCATATACACGTTCTTGCCGTACCCATTGGTCTTAGCACCAGCCTGCGGGTTCATCATCACTCCTCCCGCAGCCTGAACAATGAAACTAAAGATATCAAGCCCCACAAACCAACGTCCTATCTTGACCGCTTCGATACGCCATAGCTTCTTCCGCGGATGCAAGAAGTACACCAGCCGGCCCGCAGTCATATACACGAAAGCGTTGATCCACAGTGGCGCTAATAGGAAGAGCAGTGTAGACAAGATAACCAACGCTTCGTTCTGCTGGTTTCGAGTGCCGAGCGCGCGTAGGATGAAGGAGACAAACTCCCAGATTGCTCCTGTGATGAGTACCCAGCAGAAGCGCTTTCGATGGAGGACTGCGAGGCCGATGTGTGCGACTGTGAGGAGGCCGAAGAGGAGGGCGAAGACTATGGCGGCGGCGAGGGAGGGGTTGTATTGGTAGAGCGCGTTGCAGGCGTAGGGCGGGACGTGGCCGTTTGAGTCAGGGATGGCGGTGATGCATGCGGGTGTGGTTGGAGTGCTGGAGGGCGCTGTTGACGACGGCATCGTCGGTAGAGTTACTAGGTCGTCTTGTTACAGCGGGCTAGCATAGAAAAGGTCTGTTATGGGAAGTCGAAGCGAACGTGTTAGAAAGGTGACAAAAGCACCACGAACATCTTTATGTGGTCATGCTCCGCGCGTGACACCTAGTTCTTTTCGTCCACGCAGCATTAAACGGCCTGGTATAACGCTCCAAGCACCAGACTCCGCGGTAACTCGCGTTGGTGCCTAGATAGAACCCCTTCCAAGCAAAATGGCGTGCGGGTTCCTTTGGCAAACCCTCCGAGGAAATATTCGCATCCATTCCGACATGCCAAGCCACCCGCGGAGGGTTTCCATTCCCTCCGGTGAGCATATAAAAAGCTGAAGTAGGTGTTTGTGTTCCCCGAATCTGCCCTACCACAGCAGCAAGCCAGCGCTTGGCTCATGTAAGACCAATCATCTAGTACCGAACGTCTTAGCACCGATCATGGGTGTAAGCGGAATGCCTCCAAGCGTGTTGGAAGGAGAAGAAAAGGCTGTATAGATATGATAAGGAATAAGTATTATGAAATTACCGTCGTGGTGTGTGTAAATAGAATCGTGTCAGGGTATCATGCAAATCATCGCTTCAGAACGCCATGTCTCTTCCGTCTTTCGTCTTCCCATCGCTTTTGCCGTCGTATTCACGGGCATCATTCATCATCGCGCCCAGCGCGCCATCGAGTCAATGCTGAGACCTGCAGGTGTGCTGTGTGTTGTGCTTCTAGTAAGAACTGTTAGCTGTGTTCATGTCGTAGAAAATTGTTCGAGACTTACTTTGTGTCATCACTCGCTCCAAAAACAAGAAGTGCATCATGCATGCAAGTGCTCGAAGATCCAAGGCTTTCTGAAACTTTTGAGTACCCAAGAGCATGCCTGATTGGGTCGGTGGGGAACGCGACACCCCGTTCGCTGTCGAAAGGTATGATGGGGTTCATAAGAACGCCTCATGTATGTTTTCCTATCCTGCAGACCTCGAACTCTTCAGACGAGTCTGCCGATGAGCAAGCTGCCATCGCTTTCGCTCGCCCGCAACTCCGGGTTGCGATAAACCGTGTGAGCTGGCCTGGGCAGCACAGGGCCTTGACTATCGCAGCTATCTTGACTTGGGCTCCGCGGCTGTTCGGTCTCAGCATGTTGTATATGGATTGTCGGAACCTCTGGTACGTTGTGGTTCTTGGAGAAAGCTGAGCGATATTTCGACCGTGCCGTCATCTTGGGCTGAAAACCGTGTGACGGCATGTCGGGTCGCTCAAGGTTGCTGCATTCGATGAACTCGTCGTTACGGGAGGTTGAGCGGGAGCTCTTCGGGCGGCTGATGCCGGTTATCGAACGGCGGCGCCCTGAGTCATCGCCGGAGGTGAATTTGCGGGCGACGATATCGTCTAGGACAGATTTGAAGTCGTCGAGGAAGATGGTATCGGATGCACACTTGAAGACGAGAGCGAACCGCCAGTATGGATTGATTCCGCTACTTGCTGTGACTTTCGCAGCGCTGACAGCAACGTCAGTGAGTAGGAAGACAATGGAGAGTATCATGCATGCCAGCATGACACCAAACCTCCTGTTGATACCGACAAGAGTCCAGAGACTGAAGGCGTAGGTCTTCTTGATGGCGTGTATCAGCTTCCATGTCGTGAATATCCACCAAGGATCGCGGAGTAGAGCCTCCCACGGCCTCATGCGAGGGTTGATGTTGGAGCCGTTTGCAAGTTGGTTGAAGTAGGCAAAGTTTGACCACGCCTCTGCTATCCAGAAAGGTTGAACACAGATTAGCGATATGATGAAGAAACGAGATCCCCAGAGTGGCAGGAAGGGTCGGATCTTGAGCCACGAGACGACGTTGTGGAGGAAATATGATATGAAGAGTAGGGTTGCAGTCGCGCTGAGGTACCAGCCATATTTCGGATCGTCGACGAAGATGAAGGTACCATGCCAGATGGCAAGAACAAGCTGAGTGGGTTAGTAATTGGTATATACGATGAAGCAACTTGCTTGCAGAGCAACACCGAGACTCACCTCAAGTAGAATAAGCTTGTGAAGCCACATGCCAGAGCGGTAGTTGCAGAAGACGATCAAGATGAGGATAATCAGAGCGCCGACATTGTATCCTTGAGCCCATGCCTCGAGAAAACCGCCCTCGGTCGTCATGCTCTCTCTGTTTGGTGGCGAAGTACGCGTCGTAGCCGTTCCGGGGAATCGCTTCGCTACGGCCAGCATGTCCATGGTGCTGAGCGGTGCCATTGTTGTTTCTTGTCAATTCTGAGATCAGAGCGAAGCTGAGTCCGGAGCCATGTAAGGCTACTTCACTCACGTCGCGTATGAAGTGAGAGCGCGTCGACAAAGTGGGGCCGATCGTGGGCGAGAAGACGGGTGAGTGGCAGCAAGAGGCGTGAAAGAAACCCGGGGTATTGCTGCCTTACATAGAGTGGCAGAACCGGCTTTCGGGTAGACGTTATAGCAAAATGTAACGTTCATACAAACCTCTGCCGCCCTTCCAATGTGGCGGGACCGGCAACAAGGCAGTTGGGCTGGGTGGGCACAGCGAGGCTTTCAGGGCTGCTGGCCGCAGTAAGCCTCTCGCGCTGGCCACGGAAATACGGAACACATGATCGCATTGCCATCGCGACGGACATGCCGCGGCTCTAAATTCTGACAAACATATTGCGCACCAAGTCTAGGTTGCGCAGACGTCTTATTGCGCGACGGAGCAAATAGGCGGAGCCGGGTGTTGTTGGTGTGATGCGTTGTTGATCGGCGGTGATGTCAGGCGTGGCTGTGGTTGACAGGGCTGCCTTCTCATCTGCCTGAGACGAAAGCGAAAACCTTACGCTGACTCGACGCCAAGGTCTGTTGAGCCTCATTTCAAGTAGTACATAGTAGTACATTTGGGCGCGCATTCATAAGAGCTACTGCAATAGCGGTCAACTTGACTTCCACTACCTGAGGGCGAGCAGTCAGCGAACCTCGCGCGTAGTATCTGTGTTGGGCGAACTGCAAGGAGCAATCGGTGTAAGCACACTAACTGTGCGACGGAGGACGGCAATGAAGGGGCGATCAATACCGTGCCTGGCAACAATGTAAGCCATGGCAATGAGGGAAGATGTCATACTGTCGCAAAAGGAACAAAGAGGTTGTTCCAAGATCTCATATGCCCGGCATGATCTCATCCGACGATTCCACCAACCTGTCACGCCAACGAGGCTGCATCAAAAGTACAGCAAAGCAGAAAAAGCCATGAAACACGCATGCGGATGTCGAAAGTTTGTCTAAAAGTCGTTTCTATATCTATGATAACATTACGGAGGGTGACGTACGATCTATGACCCGATTGGCTGCAAGCGCCAGGGCGCAAACTAAGCCAGGGGCCGAGAACCCTTAGGCAGAGGAACAAAGAAACCGCCCAACCTCTCCAATCTCCCCATCCGCTTCTTCCAGGAAGCCTGGTATCTTCTTTGTGTTCGCGATCGTCAAGTCCAGGAAGCCCGGTTTTACCCAGTGTGCGTCTTTTCTTCTTTGCCCGCAACCGCTATGCGCGTCTTGCCCCACCGGAAATCGTCCATCCTCCACAGCGTGTAGAACTGCGTGCAGACGTTGACGTAGGCTGCGGACCAGGTATAGGCAACGCAGCCAATGACCGTCTGGACAACATCGATGAACGAATCGCACGATATGAGGGTGACCATTAAGTCGAAGACGCGTCGGTAGTACTCGAAAGCTACGATGTAAAATATGGTCCGATCGTCCAGGTCACCTGTTAACCTGATGTTAGCAAGTTTCAAGAATCACAGGCTGAGTGGTACGTACGGAAGAATCTCGAGATGAGAAGCGCTGGGTTCTGCACCCAATGCGTCAAGGAAGCCAAAGCAGAAGCTCTCTCCATCCAGCCTGTCGATTTGCGACTAAGGAGGAGGCTGTCGCTTGTGAGCGGCCCCAGCGTCCATCTACGGCGTTGACTGACAAAGACCGAAGGCGTAGTCGGTGCCGTAGTGTACGCCCGCGCACTGAGGTTCACACGCGTCCGGACGTGGGCGTAGTGTGCAATGACGAGACAGACGTGATCTCTGTCCTCGCTCATCATGGAACGGACGGTTCGAAACAGACCATCGGAAGCCTTGGGATAGTATCCAAATTTCCCCAGGATGAAGTCGCCCATTGTCTCCTCGCAGACTCGCAGTAGTTGACAGCAGCCAGGCAGGCACGTCACCTTTCCACTTGTGAGACTCTGGCGCAGGCGACGCCGGTGCTGGCCAACCATGTACTCGGCGTTCTGATAGAGATACGAAATTGTCCAACCTCCCAAAGCAATCGGGTCTGGTCGGATGTAGCCGGTTACTCCCACGATCTCTTCGCCTTCTCTTGCGGTCTGCATCAGGTTGTGAACGCATTTGGTGTCGAATCGGGTGTCTGCGTCTATTCCCATAGCGTAGTCCACTTTCAGGATGGATTGGGTCTCGAGGAAGCCTGAGAGCTCGGTGAAGAGCTTGGGCGAGATCATCTTCAAATCGGGGTTTGCCTTGCGCTGATTGAATTTGTTCAGGAACGTCCGGATGAGAATGATACCATCTCGTTTCCCGCGGTTTTCGTTCTTGATAACGCAGATGATCGGAAGCCCTCGAAATTCGCCCTTGATAATTTCAATGTCCATTGGGCCGTCGTCCCAGGCAGTGTAAGCCTCCTTCATGAACGTGCTAGTCGGACGCTCAACAATATCTTCTTTCAGATGGGCCGAAGTCGTCTTGGTCATGCCCTTGCAGCTCACGCGACCATCGCAAACTACGACAATAGCCTTCTTGTGATCGTCCAGCGACTGCTGCTCAGCCAGCGAAACCAGCGAATTCATCATCTCCTCATACGACTCGTTGTAGCAGCATAGCAGGTAGACCAAGCTCTCCGGTGTTGCGGGGATCGTGATCTTAGGCGGGTTCAATCGCTTTCGAATGAGGGCATGGATGACCATGGTGATCTCGATCATATCCACAACGGCTCGAAGAATAAGGTTCGGAAAGAGGACCCAGGAATACTTTGCCCAGTCTGCAAACATGTACATTATGAAAAGGCTGAGTAATTTTATTAGCAACTCGTGTCTTGCGCATTGGGGAGTGATGGCGTTGATCCACGTACTTGAATGGTATTAAGATGGCCCATACTACATATTTCTCAATCCTGAGACGATCCGTATTGACATCTGGAAGATGTTCGATAGCGCTGCTCAAAACCTTGGAGGAGAAAAAGCGCGATCGTTTCTTGAGATTGCCTGCGATCTGAGCGCCCGAGCTCGCTGTATTGAGGACATCCATCTTCATGGGGAAGATAGGAATTCCTGTGTCGTGATGTGTTTAACGGCGAGTGCTGCAGGAGCGAAAGATGCTATTCTAGTATTTTGTACAAACGCCATGTACCTTTTGGAATTCAGGGTCAATGTATCAGGGTACGAGCGTCAAACTAACCATCTCCACAATGGACGTTTGGATAATCTCTAGAACGTCGACTAGCGACGCAGTTTCAGGCGGTGTAACGCAGGGACGCCAGGGACGGTGACAAGGCTGATCACCGAGGTACCTCCAGGCGGCGTGACATCTTGTGCCTGCGTGCGTGGCTTTCCTAAAACACATTTTTGTGGCGATTTTTCATGCTGAACACGCATTAGTTCGGAGGTACACCGGTGAGTCCAAACATACGGACCGCTTCGGAGTACTTGGTAGTACCGAAGCTAAGACTTGGCGCGTAGCGAGACTCGCTGCTAGTGTATCAATACCGGATGAAATTTTGCCATCGCAATACGGTCATGTCTCAGTGGTATTGTGCGTTCAGTAGAGTATCAAGATAGGAGTAATTTAGCGAGTTCAAATATAACCTCGTCCCTAAACCATGTCGACTCTTGGACTTTCTCGATTACTGAGCTTGTTATTTCGTACATCACAATTCGTACAACCACGGATTATCACCGGATTACGACATTCCCATGGAGAAACACGATCAGAATGCCGTTGTTGCGATCATCGGAGTGGGATATGTTGGCGAACATCTTATGGAAGTCTTCTCTTCCGCTTACCAGGTTATCGGGTACGACGTCTCGGCTCCTCGAATAGAAAGACTGCGATTGAAGCACTCACGGAGAGACACCGTCAAATTCTCAACCGATGAGAGTGATTTGAAGGACGCGGCACACTTTCTCGTTTGCGTACCGACCACCCTGGGATTGAACGGCCAAGTAGACTCTTCACATGTCCGCAGCGCGATAGACATGCTGCAACGCTACGCAACCAGCAAATCGATAGTAGTCATAGAAAGTACCGTTGCCGTCGGCATGACAAGAGCTCTCCTTGGGCCGCTGGCCGGATCCCGCGGCATCCTTGCGGGGATGTCACCAGAGGTAGGATGACCTATTCGTCCGAAAGAACCAGGACTGGCTGACACCTACCAGAGGATCGACCCAGGCCGAATCGAGCCGCCACCTAGATCAATACCAAAGGTCGTCTCGGGGCTCGATGACATTGCCCCGGGTTCGCTGGATGCCATTGTACGATTGTATGAGACGGTGTTCGACACTGTCATCCCTGTCAGCAAACCCGAAGTCGCGGAAATGTCAAAATTGTACGAGAATTGCCAAAGGACGATAGCCATTGCGTACGCCAACGAGATGTCAGACGCTTGTCAGGGACTGGGGATCGACCCCTTCGAAGTGGCACGCACAGCCGCCAGCAAACCTTTTGGGTATCTGCCGATGTACCCGTCGTTGGGAATTGGGGGTCATTGCATCCCGGTTAACCCGATCTACTTCATGTCGACATGCAATCTTCCGCTCCTACAACAAGCGCACGAGAAGATGATGTCGCGGCCGTCGCGCATCGCCAGCCAGCTTCTCGCAACCATGATGGAAGAGTGCCACAAAAAACACGGTTCGACACACCGCCCTAGGCTTCTCGTCGTCGGAGTCGGTTTCAAGCCCGGGCAGTCGGACCTGTCACACTCGCCAGGCCTGCAGTTGCTGAATTACATGCGACAGTCTGGCGAGGTAGATCTCATGTTTTGTGATCCTCTGGTTAACCAGGAGGCGATACCCGAAGTATCAAGATTGGAAGAAGGTTCTTGGAAGCCCGACGTCTTGAGATCGTTTGACGCCATCGTCGTAGCGGCGAAACAACCTGGATTAGATTACACAGTTCTGGAAACCTTGGCAGATGTGCGGATTGAAGTCTGGAACCGATGATAGCTGACGCGGGCGTCAGAGGCCGACACATCTTCAGTCGCATTCGCAAAGTGGCTCTATTGGTTGTTTGGCTGGCCATGTTCTGTACATTACGGTTTTCGCCTACTTAATGGTAATACACGCCATCTTTCGTAATCGGCCCGAGGAAGTGATCGTCCGGTCTTCGCATCTGGTACCCAAGTCAAGACCGGCTAATTTTGTCTGCACAATTGGAGATCGGGCCTAACGGGCGTTTATTTACTCTATACCGGCGCTTTGGGGCATTGGCCCCTGAGGTTCGGATGTGAGCGGTGAGCTGTTGCACTACCACCGATGGAAACTCAAACACGCGGCGAACAGACGTGAGGGAACCTTGTGCAACCGGCTTACGGCCTTGCTATGATCGGAACGGATGTAGAAAAGCTGGACAGCGCCGCATCAGTCATACAGATATCCAATTCATCATGAATAGTGCATTGGGGGCTTACCATCCATTCTACTACACTCCATTGGGAAATGTATGCCCGGTGATAAATCCACTCGTCAACGTTGAGACTATCAACTATGGAAGATGTGGGCCAGGAGTTCAGCAACCTGAGTGTAGCCGTTGCTGCTCGAAAGACGTGAGTAGTTGAGATCTTGGTGCATCAACTGCCGTCTTACTCATCATTTCAAACAGGGCATTCGCATGACGCATCCAAACTTTGCTGGTCAACATGCGTGTCTTTGGGACTATGGGTTAGCTTGTGATGGCACCCAATGGCCCCCAGGATTCAATACATCAGATACGCCTCGGCCCAAGCTGGGGGATGTTCCCTACGGAACGAAGATCTTCAATTGCAAAGTGGAAAATACGCTTGCCCTCACGTACGATGATGGTCCCCGGGAGTGGACAGCGGATTTGCTGGACATCCTGAAGGCCAACGGCGTCAAAGCGACGTTCTATATCAGAACAATCAACCTGTACTGGGAGCTGATAGCCCACAAGTTCGACGAGAGGTCTGCGCTTATTAGAAGAATATACAAGGAAGGACACCAGATTGCGGGGCATACCTGGGGCCACAAGGACTTGGACAAGATGACTCCGCATCAACGCAGAGACGAACAGATAAAAGCAGAGATTGTCCTCAACGACATCCTAGGCTTTTTCCCGACCTACATGCGCCCGCCCTTCAACATCTGCGGCCCTGAATGCCAGGCCGAAATGGGAGAGCTCGGCTACCATGTGGTGAGTTTGCAGAGAACAGTGTGAAGGACCAAACTGACTTTGTCGACAGACTGCAGCCGACCTTGATGGACGAGACTGGGCAGGTAATTATACCTACACGGAAGAGAACTTCATGGAGAAGATCAAGGGCAAGAACCGTAACGGGGTTCGGGCCTGGTTGGGCCTGGCGCACGACACCCACGAAGGTACCGTGCATAGATACACACAGTTCATGATTGACAACGCACGGGCGCATGGATACAAGCTGGTGAGAGTAGGGGAATGCCTGGATGACCCGGAGGAGAACTGGTATCGGGACCCTTTGACGGGTGACAGGCCTGTTGAGATGCCTCCAAGAGAGATGCCGTGATGTAGCCTTACAATTAGACTTTGGAAACAAGCAATGATCTGAACCAGGAGTCTGCATGTCAGCAATGCGGGGATGAAAGTCAGGACCGAAAGTTACATGTAATCCATCCATGGATGGGCGGCCTTGATTAGTGATTATGCCCAGGTGGTTCGGGAACACGATGACGTCCTCGTCGCGTGCGGAAGATTGTCCGTGCCTCCGCCCGCGTAAACAGCTGTACCAGCAAGCCATCATCCTCATATATCAGCAACCATGTCTCGCACCGCCATACCACGTGCCGCACTACGTCTTAGCTCGAGAAGCCCGTTATGCACATCTTCGAGGTCAATTGAGGCGCCGGGCCGCAGTCTGTAAGCTTCAATCGCTGCTTTGCGCAAACTTCCCCGCTCACACCACCCAGGTCTATATTGCGCCCAGCACCACAATGCTCGTCACACGACATCCGGAGCTTCTCCATAAGCACACAACTACAAAAGAAGGCCGGTAAAGCGAACAAAGCCCATGCGCGAACCGACTCCGCACCTCCCGTCAGCAACCCGGGCCCATTGACACCTACCGACGAAGCCTACGATGTCTCAGGCCTGGAAGCACAGATCCTCAAGGCTCTGGAGAAGCTTACGCATGACCTCAGCCAATTGCGCAGTGGAGGAAAGACGAACCCTGAAATCGTGGAGAACTTGAAAGTGCAACTGGGCACGGCAGGAAACAAGGAGACCGTGAGACTGGGTGATATCGCGCAGGTTGTGCCCAGAGGGAGAATGTTCAATGTCATCTGCGGGGAAGACACGGTATGTCAAGCTGCTACTACAACAGCACCAAGTCTTCTAACACTTCACAGCACGTCAAGCACGTTACCTCCGCCATCGCCGCCTCACCGCACTCACTCACACCTCTTACACCCGAACCCTCCAACCCACTCACGATCCAAGTCCCGCTCCCTCCGCCAACAGGAGAATCGCGTCGCGCAGCCGTCGAGTCGGCCGTCAAAGCTTCTGAGCGAGCAGACAAGCTGATACAGCAAGGGCGTCAGGAACACAACAAGAAGCTGAGGAAATTCGAGCTGAATCGCGATGTGCTACCGGATGACCTGCAAAAGGCGAAGAAGAAGATGGAGGAGGTGGTCAAGAAGGGACACGAGGAGGTTAAGCGCATCAGCGATGGCGCGAAGAGGGTGCTTGAGAGTCAGTAAATAGCATGGAATGGCATACTGCATTATCGGGAAAGTACAAAAGTACCACATCATCGTATGCAAGGGTTCTAGTGCACTGTGCATGCCATTGGGAGGTGTTGCGCCTGGACAGGTTTGTATGAACTCTGCCTCAAGTCTGCCTCAGCAGTTTGGCATGTGATCACACAACTTCCCAGGAAAACAGTGGCCAATCGAGCCATCACGTACTATCTCATACACATGGCACAAGGTCTCAATTGGACGATGTAGTAGCCGGCATCAACACGAGCAATGCGAGCGGCTCAGCCTCCACAACAGTGCTTGGCGCGACACCCGCGCATCATCTGGTGACCACCAAAACCACCACATATAGGGAATGGTTAGCCAGATTCACGGGCCAGGCTCCATATCTAGGAGAATGAAGATCGCGAGGAAGAGCTATGGCGACTGTCAGAGAGTCAGAGGACAATGGTACAATCAGGCTTGGCGGAGCGGACAGTACGAAGGTATGTGTGCTGATACCGACAGCCTCTCGCTGGACAGATGTTGACATGATCAGGGCACTACAATCAATACAACGTCCATAACCCCGGCCGAAGGTGTTGTGATTACTCGCCTGCCTATGGAAGACGACCTCGAACTACCACCTAGCACCGAGGCGAAGTCGATCTTCCACATCTACGAGAAGCATAAGTGTCATAAAAGCATTACGCCAGTCCTCGATCCTACTCTGGAACGGAGATCTGGCTCAACGATCAAAGAACAGAAGGCTACACGCAAGGAGAAGAAAGAGCGTCGAGACGCTGGACTACCTAGTGTAGAACCAGACGATAATGCTTTCTTCCTTCACCGACCATACCTCGCCTTCCACGTACCGCCTCGCGTCCTCTACACAGGCAACAGTAGACACACCGCGCAGCTAGCTATCTTGATACACGAAGGCTGCTTTTGGAAAGAGTATAAACTGCAACTCCTCTCATCCACCGCCGGCATACTCGACCCTCGCGGCGTGGTACCATGGCGCCACAACGGCGGCGACAAGAAAGCACTGAAAGGCAATCACCACAAGCTCAAAGGGTACAAAGTGCGGACGTGGAGGGTCTGGGGTGAGACGGGCAAGGAATACGTTCGTTCCGTGAAAGACATCCGCAAGACGGGCGAAGGGCAGGATCCCGATGTGATCACGACGACGAATGGCAAGTTAGAAGAACCTGCGACGGCCGACGAAGTGGTGTATCTGCGATGGAAGAATCCTCTCTCACGTCACACGAGATGCTATCACTTCCAGTATGTCGGCATTGACTTCTTCTGGAAAGGAACGGGTACACTCCGAGAATCTCGTACGTGTGGTGTCGTGTTGCGTTTCAACCATCTGAAGCTAACCGCTAGCTACCTGTCACTGAAGAGAAGAAAGAGGGGCAAGCTGAGGTATGCTTGGGGGTATACACGTCGTCTGTTGCAAGTAGAAAGAGTGGTACTTTGGAGTTCTTCGATACTGTTATCTTGCGTCTCATCAATGAAAACGCGCCGGAGATGCTACTTCGAAATGAGGAAGGGGCGGAAGAAGAAGAGGCGGAAAGTACGAGGATCTTGCGGATGGAGAGAAGTAGGATCTATCAGGTGTTTGTAGCTACTGCTATGTGTATGATCAAGAGTGAGAAGGAAAAGAGACATACATTGCTGGATTTGCTGGTGAATGTTGCTGAAGGTGGTGCGGGTGGCTAGTTATGGATGGTTGGCTTCTCTTGAACATATGCTCTAGTTTGGATGTACCATCAGGTGTCAGTTATGAGATCATGACAGTGCATTCATTCAACTTGAGTAGGAAGTTCATCGGTGGTTTGGTGGAGCCTCGGCCGCATGTCACTTATCGATAAGACTCGCGCTAAACCTGGAGGTCATGACGTGGGATATGGGCATTTCTTAGAACTCGGCGACGCCACTTTCCTCCAACACCCCATCCCCTTTCACCGACTCTCCTGTATGCCCGCATTTGCGTTTCCGAGACAGTATACCTGCGCACGCTGTTTGCGCACGAATCGAAGATCCAATGTCTTCGTTCCATCCCGACCCGCGCCGGCAGGGCCTCTGAGGCGATACGGGCAGACGGCAACACAGCGCAAAGATGAGGATGACGGCAAACAGGAGCAGGAGGACGCCGGAAACAATGGCGATGGATCAGGCGCCGAGGCCGAACAGGAGGAAGGCGCATTCACGCGACGCATGCGAGAAATGAGTGAAGACGCGCTGGAATCGGGAGGACATGGCGCCGTCAAAGCTGTGGAAGAGGCAGGCTTCAGTGCAGACCTCAAGGCACAGCTCGAACAGCGAATCGCATCTGCAAACCTCAAGTCGTCCGAAGCAGAGCTGCCCGCCTTCGCCTCCCGCCACACGCGCGAGCTTGCCACAACAGAAGCCTGGACCGGCACCGAGTCCATCCACGATGCGAGCCTACGCATGCTGAACGACGCCCATAAGCCGCTACGATTGGGGCGACCAGCCAAGATGCCAGGCGTTCCTATACCCCAGTCCATCGATACCGGACATGCTCGGAGCAAGGAGGGGCGGGGCGTGAGATTGGCCAACGCACGCGACAGGAGCACCGTCTACGCTTCCATCAATGAAGACGAGAGTATAGAGGCTTTCGACCGAGAGAAGCGGTTGCAGGACCTCAAAGACCGCTTCGAGCCAGGTGCGCGCACCATCGTCCCTGGCTCTATCCAAGGGATTGCATCTCTTGCGAATAAGAGGATTGAAGATGCCATCGCCCGTGGCCAGTTCAAGAACATCCCGCGCGGAAAGAAGGCCAACATCGAAAGAGACTACAACGCATCGAGCCCCTTCATCGACACGACCGAATACTTCATGAACAAGATTATACAAAAGCAAGAGATTGTACCGCCGTGGATCGAGAAGCAGCAAGAGCTCACTTCGGCTGCAAGCAAGTTCAGAACTCGACTACGGGCGGACTGGAAGAGGCATGCTGCGCGCTTGATAGCCAGCAAAGGCGGATCGCTACTCGACCAAATCAAGACAGCTGAGGCATTCGCAAAGGCAGAGCTGATTGCCAACCCTCTGAGAAGGAAACAACAAGAGACGCTCACCACTGTTGACGATGACGGGCACATGTCACAGATCACTTTGTCAGGCGGGCTGAAGGTAGACTCAGAAGGTGAAGGATCGAATGCGGAGCCAGTAGTCACAGAAGAAGTTGTAGCAAAAAAGGTTACATTTGATGCTTCCCCAGAAGCTGTAGCGCAGGACCCAGCAGCAGCTACCGTAACAGAAACAACCACGGAAACCATGGAAGTACCTGTTCAAGCTCCCGAACCAACAGTGGCACCAGCGCCGTATCCCTTCCGTGACCCAGACTGGGAGCGTATCGAAAGCGGTTACTGGAAAGTCGCTATCAAGGACCTCAACGACAAGGCGCGCAGCTACAACCTCCTCGCACCCGAGCTAGCTAAACGACCCTACTACAATCTGCAGCGCGAGCTGAACTCCTGCTTCGCCGACGTCGCGCCCCAGCTCGCCGGGGCCATCCTCGAACGCGCACGCAAACCGCCCAAGAAAGCAGATAGTTGGCAGAGCTCCGGCCAGAAGAGCGTGCTCGACAACATCATTGGAGGGCCAGTCCGCGTGCGAGATGAGCGCCGCGAGAAGCAGTATGGGTTCCGCCAGTTTTGGAAAGACCTCTGGGCCGACAAGTCCAGCAACCCTTATTGAGCCAGTCACCACCAAGCCCGATCCTCGCATCCTCATCCCGCGGACTCCGAACCCTCTCGTCACCGTGTCCTTTCGAAACCCACTCGCCCACCGTTGTATGTAGCTACCGCGCCCTTGCTGCACGACATCGAGAGAGAGGAACATGATCGACACGCACATACGCTTTCGCCTATCCCTGGCTGTAATCCTTCGTAGCGACCTCGAGGTCAGTGATCAGCAACACGAATTCCAGGTTTTCAAGTTCTTGTTCAGGCTTGTCATGGGCATATGCACGTGTTTTCGAATGGGGACGGATCTACATCCTTTGACCCGGAATGAGCGGTGCCCCCCGCTACCGACGCCCTGGGTCGATAACGCAGGCGTGAGGCGTCGGGAGTGCCGTGACGGGCAGGGGGGTTGGATGAAGTACTACAGCCGTACACCACACCACAACAAACACCAACAAGACGCATCCGTGGGGTTTCGCGACTTACCCAATGTCCCAATCTGTCGTCAGCTGCATGAGTCCGCGGAGCTCGGCGAGTCCGCCCTACGTGGGAGAGAAAGTGAGGCGTTTGTTGTTGCTTTCGAACCTGTTTACCGGGAACCACGTTTCTCGGATTCGGATACGCTTAATACGCGACTTTCATGCGTGAATCTCGATGGTCGCGTTTAGCCAACTATTGGTCCTCTGATATACGCAAGGGAGACGGTGCTTAGTTGAGCTGGACCGGGTTCAGCTCCTCGGCTCGGATGCATTGTTACTCAACCGGGCAGTACCTGCATATGGTTTCTCGGGTCGCTCAAGCGGCAGTTCTAGGCGGGACTTCCTTGCGTTTTCCTACTCTATAGCCAAGCGTTGTAGAGCTTACACGAACCCGACAGCCTGTTAGCGTGTAGACATACGCCGAGGCAGAGAGCAAGTTATGTTGTTTATCGGTGTGCATGTCGCTTTCTCAGCACCTCGCGTGTATGTATGTGTATGTGTGGATGACGGATGACAGATGACAGCGGAGTACACCGCTGCGTTGTAGTTGTCATGTCTTGGCGGCTCCAGATACTTGGAGTAGGTCGCCGATATCCGGGTCTCTCTCTTCCAATTACTACGCTTTTAACATAGTGGTCGCAACTTCTCACTGGTTGCTTCATTTTATTCAGCAATATCAACAATACACGTGCGGGTATGCTTGGGTCACCGGTGTCGGGACTTGGCGGGTTACTCTCGATACGAGTTTGTACAGTTGAAGCTCGCGAGTAATTTGCATTGGTGCTTTCTACTCGCCAGGCGTGAGATGCTGTAAGCTGACGTCGGTTGTGATGCTTGAACACTATCAAGTTGCCGATATGCAGCGCGGCATCCCCTTGGAAGATCAAAGCAAAGAGGACGTCAGACCAGTATTGTTATTTGCTTCTTCCGTGTGGGGTAGTGGAGTAGCCGCCCCTGTCCTATAGCACCATCATGATAGCGTATATGCACATCATTCACATCTCAGAAGAACACATGAACGATACGCAAAAGCAACATCACTTTGCAGTCCCCAGGAAGAATGACTGTCGAGTCATTCCGCAGCACAATTGGTGGAACAACCCATCCCTTTCAGAAAAGAAGTAACATTGTCGATCCCACCCCCATTACCATCCCCACACACACCTCCATCGAGCCAACTAACAACATACGTCTAACCATATCGCGTAATCCTACTTTCCATCGTATCCAAAAGCAGTAACGAATGTGTCCATTTCCTTCTTTCGCAAGTTCCCAAAGCGGAACGAGCATACTACCAAGCTATACCGCTTCCGGCGACGACCGCAATGCCTGTGTCTGATGAGACGTGACAAGACCTGCTTTCCTTGTGGTACATCGGTACCGAACTGAACAACCACGTACCCGCCCACACCTGTGTGGCAGCTGTCACAGCGGATGCGGTCTAGCCCGTCAGCTTAGCCACGCACGGTAGCGGTGCTGGATGCCACACCCACGCTGACGGCACTGTCACTGCGCGTTCTGGAGTGGTGATTCGAGCCGGTGGACGAGTGCCTCTTCTCCTTGCGGACCGTGGTGCGCTGGCGTACGGTATTGCTGACCTTCCGTTCGGTTCCGGTCACGACCCGCGCGTTGGGTAAGGCTGCATCCACGTCGACGTCGTTTGCGTTGGAGCGAGGGCTTTCCTTCTTCGATACGCTCTGCGTGTTTGCTGTGTGGTTGCTGCTCTTGCCAATGCACGTCTTGTTGGTAGCGCCGCTGGCCGTCGTCTTGCCTGCACCGTCGTATGGCTGGCAGAAGCAAATCCGCAGTATGTGCCCGGCAAGCGGTCCGAGGACCCCTACTTCGCGCCGAGCTGTGGGTTGACGGGGGTGTACTCGTTTCTTTCTAGGTCTGGCTGTAGCCTCACCTGCGCAGCTTCGGGGCATGCTAACGTATGCGGTTGCTGCGGCTCTACGGTTCGCAGCCTTTCGCTTGCGAAGGACCCTTCCTTTTCCAGACGAGGTGCAACTTGCGATGATGGCCGTGATCAATCGGGCTCTGTGGAACCTCGCCTCATATTTGAGGTCCTCGGCGAATGATCGAGCTGATCTGCGAGGTTTGTAGCGCGGGCGTACATTCAGCTTCTCGTACGAATGACGCGGTCTGGAGCAAGGCGCAAGACTTTCGGTTTGCGCTATGCCGTCACAGCCTTGAACTAACGGTGCAGGCAAGATGAACGAGTCTATGGAGCCAACTGTAGAGTCGATCTGCGACTGCTCAGGGCGTTTGTAGTTGTGATGGAAACGTAGGTGCATAGGGAGCGGAACCGAGGATGTGGGTGGTGTGGTCATTGGCCTCAAAGAGGGCCTTGGGGGTGGCAGGCATGTCGTTGTCGGGAACGCACGATAGGTTGCAGGTGTGGTTTTGTTATCGTAGTACGATGTGGTTGCAGTGGGTGAGCCGCTGAAGTCCGAAGCGCTCGTAGTGCCTGGCGTCGAACTACCCTCTGGCTGGATAAGATTGCCGGACGGCGAGAAGAATGAAATCTTCGGTGTGTCGTAGTTGGCGCGAACGATGCCCGATGCTGCAGCTATTGGTAGTAAAGACGTCAATGCGGATGAGGTGATTGAGCGACGCGTAGGTTCTGCCTCAGCAACTTGATCCGGCTCCGGAGGTGACTCAGAGAGTGAAGCTTGCCGTTCTAGCTCGGCCATCTGCGGAGTGAACCATACTGGCGCGATAGGTGTGGGCGAACGCGAGGGACGCACTGAATGAGGGAAGTCGTGCTGAAGGTCGACATCGACACCAACTACTGTTCCCGAGTAGGAAGTGGACATGGTACTACAGAAGCTCGCATTGTGACTAGCCTCAGTCGCGTGGTCATGCTCTGTGAGTGAATGGTTGTTCTTACCTGCACCATAAAATGTGTGTCCAGCTGAGATAGTGTTGTTGGCCTCGTTTGACAGCGTTGGTACTCTAGCGCTACCGCCATCGTGCGCCCCATCGCGTGCTTCCGGGTACACAAGACGCACAGAAGAGGACCGTTCACGCGGGCGGACTGTAGCCGACGGTGGTAATAGCTTTGACACGGCTCCAAATGCCGTTTGCGACTCGAGCGTATACGGGTCGACGTCAGAATTGGGGACTATCGCATGAGCTGAGAAACTAGGATCAGCCATGGATGACTGCCCGTTTCTGGCCTGATTCTCTGAAGCTAACGCTTTAGTCGCGCTTAGGGCCTGGGATGCAGTAGGGAAACGATATGGCGTGTCAAATGTGTCATCGCCCAGTTGAGACATGTCAGATGCCTGCAATTGACTTTGTAGGCTATCCTCGCTCGCACCCGGCCGATCGCTATGGTTCTCAACGAGCGACATCTGCGTCGAGGACGACCTAGACCGGGTTCTCGAGGCAGCTCGAACATTGTGTATAACGCCACGAAAGAAGCTTTTGACATTGCTGGTATTAGCGTCGGAGTCGGCCTTGCCATTCCGATGGGTAATAGATTGCGATGGCTTAAGACTGGGAAACGCGGATGGGATTGCGGCATCATCAGCCCGGAACGAGTTGCTGTAATCCTTGCACAAGGGCACATCGTGTGTATTGCTTGGTGCTTTCAACAGATGCCCTCGCTGCACATCTTCTGTGATGCGCTGGAGAACATGTTCTTCTGGTGTGTATGAGATTCTGTGTGACGAGCGCGTCGGCGAGGCATTTTCCACCACACGGAGTGAAGGGAAGCGGCCCACGCTGAGGAGGGAGCCATGTGAGTTTAGCGTCGAGTAAGAACCTTGCTCCACAATAGTGGCTAGAGGCGCGCCATTGGAGCGATTTGCGAGCCGAACGGCAAGATTGTAGGGAACGCCTCGAGCTCTGGCCTGCTGCTGATATTCCATGGCGTGCTGCATATCTCCGGTCCCGGTAATATCGTGGCAGGCATAATCATCGTGATCTTGTGCGATGTAATGCCGATCGCGCCCTTGGCCTTGCGTTTGCGGTTGCATTTGCGACGAGCTCGTATCTAGGAAAGCTCTGTAATAGGCGAACGGATCCGGCTGCATGGCATGGGTCGATCGGAAGGACGGAGTGGCGTGGGTCTCGTTCAACGGATCTGATGGAGCTGGACCACATATTGGTTCCTGGCCGTTGCTGCGGTCTAGTAGACTGGCGTCGCGGGGCTGTGCTGTAGGCATGATTCTCATGTCCTGTCATCGATATTGTCAAAGATGAGATCCGATCGATGCTAGATCATAATGTGCATGAGTGTGGGACCCTGCTGATAGCAGAGCAACTTTGTTTGTGCGCCGCAGGGCATCCTGGGAAGTAGCAGGCCTTCCGCAGCGCCCTTTCCGAGATTGTATTGTTTAGGCAGGAGCAGCCATGACCTGCTCCTGTGCAACCGCCCTGTCGTATCTCGTGGCGGCTCATTCACCACTCGGAGGGCATGACCACGGCCATGGTATTCGCCGACTAAAGTCTCCCGAATCGTATGACCATTGCAGTCCGCCTAGGATACAGCTCCAGTGTTTTCTGTCCTAGCGAAGGGAACATGTTCGACGCGGCTGTGTGCGGAGGGCCATCCAATCAAAATGCTCTGTACTCGCAGCCCCTAAGCCCCACGACCCTTCCTGGAATTGGCGATGATGCGCAAAAGCAAAACTGTTGCTGTGCTTCTTCGACCTCAACGTCGGACCCTCCCGTACGCAAGTACATCGCTTCAACTTGCTCGTGGCGGTTGCTCCTGCATGCAGACCCTATGCCCCAGCCTGCCTATCTTTGGCTAGCGCCGCTGTGAGATCATGACCCTTATTCATGGACAAAGTGCTCATCCAAAATTGATTGCACAAGCAGGTGATTAGCGAAGGATTCGAAGATCACCTACGCATGCCGCAAATGGCTCCATCAAGAATGCTGGTTTTGCATAGCTTCCATAGCCTCTGTTCACAGGCTGCACAATCAGAGTCTAATGATCGGCAAAACAAGCCGGGTCCGTACAATCAGGCCGGCGACGGGATCAAGTGGGTCGTGCCGCTTACATTGTATACAATGCGTTGGGAGACGAAACGGTGCACTAATCCAGGTTCGCCGATACGGAAAGCAGGCTGGCTAGTTTGACGCAGTCTCCACACAAGCGACGTACTTAAGGCTGGGGTAGCGATGAGTTGGCCAGGTTCACCATGGACCTTGTAACCTATCACGGTCGTGACAATTATAGAGCTCTGTTCCGAGCACATGTGGCTTGTCGTACGTCTTCTTCTCCATGTACCTTCATCCATCGTTGACAAAGTCCCAGGATAGCCTGGCAAGATTGAACTGCAGAAGCAACTTCCAGCTCACACCATCCACGAGCTCTCAGAGCTACTGCAGCAGCAGATTGGATACGGAAAAGCCGCCGTTTATCCATCACCGATGTAACGGAAGGTAACAAGCGATATGTCACCTATGCGATCCATTCGGTCGGTGCGAGTGCGCTGAGAATACTGAAAATAGACACGGGATGTGTCTCGTTGTCGTCAACCTATGAGCCAGCATGATGACGGTAAGCAAGGGGTAACTTTTCCAGGTAGCTGACCGGTACTGACCTTCGGCAAGTTCAATTCGCGGTGGTCGCCAGCCGTGCGCTCGCTGTAGACTCGTTTGGCTCGGGCTTAGCCGGGCTAGAGGAGGCTGCACGACGCGGCAAAGCCTTCCATTGCTTCCAGAAGCTGTACGATTTGGTACATGTTCGATGAACAAGATCCGCCCAGCAGCGAAATGCGCATTTTTCTCAGTCTAGACACACGGTTGTGAGACTGCTCACACCTGTCCGGTCAATTGTGCTGAGTCAACTTCCATGCTTCAGTGGTGAGTGTTATCGAGCCCTGGAAAACGCCCTTAAGCCAGGCTTACTGATCACATTGAATTTCTGTCCGTTGCCCTGCACTTGACGGCGATCCTTACCTCCAGTAGCTGAGGGCGGACACAATAAGTATCACGCTGGGCCGTTGTTGACAGCTTGATGGCCTTCGGGCATCTTGAGAATTCAAGTAACTTGAATGTCTAGCCTAGGGTGTGATTTGTCGACCTGTAGAATGGAGTGGATTATTGATCTCACGTAGAGACATGACTCAGTTCGGGCCGTGCTTTCTTGCACCCACGCTCTCCAAGTGTGATGCTCTTCTTCGAGCGCCTTTGGTCCGCAGGAGCTGGGCGTGACGAGCCGAGCTCCATTCACTCCGCCCAATGCGCCACGCTCGTGAGCCATGTAGTCGTGCTCCGCGCTTGGGTGGCATTGGCTGGTCAGAAAGTCTTCGAAGCAGCCATCTCCCTGCCGACCGTGGATGCTTGTCGTATTCCTGTCTGACCAGCGCTCAAGTCCGTCGACCTGATTCTCGGGATTGCATCAGGTCCTCGACTCACCGGCCCGATGATCGCAGTGCGGATGTTGTTTTGTCGTCAGGCTAAGCTACACTATCGCTGATTTAGCTAGCGCCAACAGGAGGGTATAATGATGTGGAGAGATCTACAGGTCATTATGAATCGCTGCACGCCCATGGATCTGAAGCTATGTCCTCGCAGCAAATCAGAACAGCGGTTTTCGACGCATCTACCTGCCGTTGCTGCACGGGAGGATACGCGAGACCCATGTGATCCACCCTGTCCACGTCAATAGATCGGCGCTGGCCAGGCATAACACCTAAGATTCGCTAGCTGCATGTGAAGCCACCTCGAGAGCATGGCGCCGGGGCCAGGCGAGTAAGGGTGGGAAATGGATATTTCTCGAATCAGATCTCCATTATCTCATAATGTGGCGTATGCGCCGTGTCACAGCGGAAGGAAAGAGGACGGGACGGACCTTGATTGTCACATGACAGCGACTCCATAAGATCTTCCTGCACGGCTGTCGACCCCAGATATAAGACAAAGAGACCTGACTTTCTGTTTCCCATATCTAATTTCACCTGAGCTGCTCTTTTCGTACCATTGGCGTGATGAACGATCCTATTAGGGAACGTCGCCATACCATGACCCAGCCGCCTCTTTCCCAGAGCGCCAGCAAGAGCGAGCTTTTTAATCGACTTAAACTCAGTGAGAGTACACACAGACTGCTTCTCGTAAGTATTCGCCTGACAATAGAAGGCCGTCCGCTAACCCACACGCCCTCCGTAGGCCGAAGCTGTGGCTGCCAGAAACGCATTGAGCTCAAACCGCTACAATTTGACCGAGCAATCGAGGGCAGACCCCTCTGTAGCAGAACCATATAGATGGGACGAGTTGTCGGAAACGTCGAAACATCTGCATATTTTGATGATCGTACGCGATGCTTGCGCGGAAACAAGACCGTATTATGACATCGGTCGTTACATGCTTCATGTCAACGAAGAGAACTGGGTCGCGAGATGGTACCTCTGGCATAGCTTCCGTTACAGGTAGGTCGACTAAGGTTGTCGTGCAGCTGGGCTCGACACTGATCTTTGCAGAGACAACCGACCGAGGGAGCGAGTTCCTAATAACAACGGTACGTATATTTTTGAGTCGATGAATAGATGTTCTGTTCGGTATCTGGTGCAGGTTAACTAACGGATAGTAGGAAACAAACCATACTATGATCCCGCACGCGACCATTACAACGGACGACAGCCCTAGCTTTCAACACCAGGAACACGTATACTTGCGACGGCATCTGTTTTTGTAGATGTTGTAGGTGTCGCGTAGGTTCGGTCCATGTTGGATGATGTAGGTGTTGCGGTTTCGGTCTACTCAGAGGATCTGTTTGCTCTTCGAGTGTGTTTCATCCAACCGTGCCCTTCGTTTTCTGGTTTTAATACTTGGTTAAGACTTTTCCTTTCGAGTTTCG